TCAGCAGGAGTTCTGTCTCTTCAGCTAAACATTTGTTCTCCATTATAGTAAAATTATTGCTTCATACAGAGCGCTGATCCCTGATCATAGTTGTACGTGGGCAATCATCATCATAGGAATGATGCCTAAATCTTTTTCCCTTTAGGAGAGAAAATCACCCAGGTAGCTTCACTAGTAACCAGCTAGGTATGATTGCAGCAGAGCCAAGGGAATGGCAATGGTAACTCTGCTCAGATTAAATACTGTTGAACTTTTAGTTTTCTGGATCAGAAGAGCTATGCAAAATGTTTCTCACAATTAAATTATCATATTGACTCCTTAGATGTATCGCACACACAAATGAAGAGTGCTCATTGTGGGCTGGCTTCCTGGGTGCCCTATGTGCTTGTCGTCTCCTTGGTGTTGACCTTGACTTCCCTAGCTGGCTGTATCTTGCCACGTGTCAATGTAAGTATGCCTCTACTCAAATTCTTGATATACTTTAGATTTGGCAAATAAGAATAATCCCTGCTAGCAAAGCCAAATACTTTATACGGACTTTAAAGGAATATGAAGTCATAAAAACATGATAAATTTAAGCAGTATTCCCTTATCCTCCTAAGCTCATTTCCCATCACTCTTTTTGTTGACTTCCTCTCTAATGTCATGTCTGTTGTTAGACTGTAAACTCTTTGGGGCAGGGACTGCCCCCCACATTTTTGTGCCAAAAAAATATGGTCAAAAGTTTGTCTGAGGCTCTTTAAACAACTCCTTAACAGGAAATTCCCTGCACCCATTGATGTCAGACAGTGTACGGAATTAGTGTCACAGAACGTCTTGGATGCACTGCACAAGCAATAAGTTAAAGTCAAAAGTTCCCTAAGGACTCTTGATTCCCTAATGAATATTAAAAAAATCCTGAATGACTGCCTACTTTGTTTTGTAGATCAAGAAATACTTCCAAAATGAACCAAATGCAGTTTATGAAGAGATGTCCTCCAGCCATAGACACCGGGTGACAGCCATAGACAACCCTTATGATAATTGCAAGTAGGTTCCTGACAGCTGGAAGTATGCACACATCAACAGCTCCTATTCCATGTCTCATTAAGGGCTTCTTGCTTTTCAGCACTGCAAGTCATGCTGCACTGGAACTGACCTTTATTCTTAAAAAAACCCTGTTTTTTCCTATGTTATTTTATTAACTTCCTATGTTATTCCTGTTATTTTATTAACTTCCGATTTTGCTGTTTCAACCTCGAGATTGCTTGAAATGAAACGGCCGGTGAAATTTTGCACAGCCCTACAAAGTACATTCAAGTCTTGTACTAGCAACCACTTCTAATAGGCAATTCCTACTCTTCAGGGATTTCTAGAAAGTATCCTCATGTTTGCCGCTATGCATTTGATTTTTTCAGCTTCAAGTGAACTGATGAGGAAACTAACAGAAAGAAAACTTTTGGATAATTGTAGCAGTGCAGCATTTATATGCTTGATAAGAAACAATCCTAGAAAGTTTTCTTCTGCAGCAGGAACTGAGGAAGAAACTACTGGAGTCAAATATAGTTCTGCATGTTCCAGGCAGTCAATGTTGTTTGCTACTGGTTACTTAGTACACATCTGACGACTTGCACAGGGTGTAGGCTACCAGCAGTGTTACATTATCACTGCTGCACTTTTCTCTGTTGTTATACCTGCCAGATCAAAATAATACAAAAGCTTTGAGAATTGGCTCTTACTGCAACAGATGGACCTTTTTACATTGTTGGGTTTGTTTCATGTTGTATATTTTCAATAAAATACTTGCAAAAGAAAGCTGTTTCACATGTTCTGTATTGCCATTCACGATGCTGAACACCCACCCCCATTCACATAATGAAATTAAAATGCAGGACACTCAACATGTTTCAGCAGTAGACATGTATTTCAGTGTAAATATCTAGTGCATAGTACTTCATAGCCGATACAGGAGATATGGCCGGTCCCTAAGCCAAAGGCATTATGATGAATTAAGTGTTGGTATATATGGTAACTTGCTGTTTCTGGTGTAAATAAATTATCTTGTGGCTACCTTTGAGAGAACCTCTGTCCATGGCTTTGCTGCTAACATGGGCATTGCTACAGTGACTGTTAGAAAAACAGGAATTCACCCAACTTCCTCTCAAAGCCAACTCATTGCTGATGAATTTTATTAGTAACAACATAGGCATTTAACGTTTTGCCTCTTGCTGACTGATACATGAACAGCCGTTGTTTTGCATCACAATTTTGTTCAGAGGATTGTGGTCCCTGACTCAGGAGAAGGCATAGTTATGCCTACTGGCTACTCTGTTCACACAGAGGGGCCAACTCATCCCTCAGTTGTGCTTGTGCTAATCCAGAGTTGCTTTGTGTGGCAGAGAAGTGGGATTACGGGGTCAGGGTTCTTTGCAGCGCACCTTCCTGCTGTTATACAGGGGAGCAGTATGGTTTCTCTCTTACAGCTGCTGCATTAGGCTTGGAACACTACTTTGAACCCTTTAATAAACAGACGGTGCCCCTTAGGAGGATGGAGTGTCCTGAGTGTGTTAGCCAAACACGGCCCATCCCCCCCGCCCCCGAAGCCCTAGCGCTTTAGAGTGCCCAAAGACGGACACCTGCCCTGAAGCCCCATAGATGCCCTACAAGACTGGTAGGAAGAACTTCCTACATATTCTTCGGCTCCCTTTTCTCTCCCTTTAGTTTTCATCTATTGAATATACCCCGAATAAGGTCCAGTTTTACCCTTTGCTATAATCACCCAAATGTTGTCACTTCTGGGGTACAACATGGAATTTTCCAAAACCATTAGCACCTAACGGCACTGAAAAAGAAGTAAGGAAAAAAACCCAGTTCAGATGAGGATCCTCTGATACATTAACAAATTGAGTAAAGAGGAATGAATATTTGCTGAGATTTGATTGAAGAACAGCTTTGCAGATACAAACAGCACTGCAGTCATTAGCATAATGATCCTAGCTAACATTACCTGAGGCTTTACTTAGGAAGCCTCTTACAAGAACCATCTCACCACTAACACTGAGACGTTAACCACTCACTACTCCTACTGGCCTGTGGGCTTAGCTTAAAGGGGCCTGACTCAAAACAGCTTTTCTGACTTATCAGAAACAAAAAAGTAAAAACAAGAATCTGGGGGCAATCATGAACACTTTGAGTCTGGTCTTCATATATGGATGAGGAAGAAGAAAGAGATATGGAGTCATATATGCCGCCTGAAGAAATAGGTGTACTTCATTGAGGGCTAGTAGATACTGGCTAGTAGCTAGCTAGTAACTTAGGAGGTTCCCAGAGGCAGAGGGTGCTCAATTGCTTTTGAGATTTTTTTTACAAGTGACTGCAAAGATGGAAAGGTATCAAGTGAGGATGAGAGTTTATCAGGGCCGTAAGCTAAGGAATAGTCCTGTAAAGCCAGAAACTGCAAAGCTGAAAACCATTAAAGACCTACACACTCCCAACAACAAACAGGTTCAGTCCTTCAGGGCTAGGGACAGAAGTTACACATAAATCAGTTTAAGTGATCAGACACTGGTTTAAATCTGTAACGGAACACAAGTTCCATCCACACAAACCAGTTTCAAAATGGCCAAAGCCGATTTAAGATAAACCTCGTTGAATGTAGAATCAGACTTAGCTGATTTGGGTCAAACAGGCTTATGCAACTTCTGTCCCAGACCCCTTCCCAGTTTAAGTTAAATCAGAGTCCCCCACCATCCCAGATGCTTTGCAGTCCTGGGCCGGGCTGTGCTGTCTGCTCCAGAGAGCAGGGCCATAGCAGGGGCAGGGGTGTAGCCAGACGCACAGCCCCCTGAGGCAAAAGGCGGAGGGAGGGGGTTTATTCCCCCCTCCCCTACCAAGGGACTGTGGCCCCTGTCAGCCATTCCCCTTTCCCCCCTCCCCACTCCAGCAGCAGGGGAGGGAGCATGGTCAGAGCCGGCTGGAATGGCCCCTGCCATCCACCTGCCTCGCCAGCAGCTGGGTCTGCAGGGCTGAGTCCAGCTGGCCTGTGGGTGCTGCTGGCGGCAGAGGGACCAGGCCGGGCTGGGCCACTGGGCCCGGACACTTTGCAGCAGGCTGTAGTTTGGGCTGGGGCTGTGGGGGTTGCGCAGGTCCCTGCGCCCAAGTTGGGTGGGGCTGCCATGGAGCCCCAGCTGGCTGGGAAGGGCCCCGCAGGGCTGCCCCTTGGGGGCAGGACACTTCCCAGCCTGCTGCTGGCTGCATGACAGCCTGGCCCAGCACCACAGGTGGGGGCTGGCTGGGGAGCGGGCTTCCTGGGCCAGGTCGGAAGCGCCAGCGGCCAGGTGGAAGGTGTCTGGGGGCTGGAGCCAGAGCTCCACGGGCTGGACAGAAGATGAAGAGCTGAAGCTTCCTGTCTCACCCCACCCAGAGCAGCGCAGCACCTGCCCATGCTGGCTGGGGAGCGGGCTTTCTGCATCTGCTCAGAGGTGCGGGTAGGCCCTGAGCTGGGCAGCCACCACCGCGCCCCTTCTGCGCAGGACCCAAGGCTGCAGGCACACAACCAGCTGTGGGCTGGCTGGGACCAGGGGGCTTGTTCTGCCCCCCTCATCTCCACGTGTCACTGGTGTGGCAGCGCTGCACTGCTCTGGGTGGGGTGAGACAGGAAGCTTCAGCTCTTCATCTTCTGTCCAGCACGTGGAGCTCTGGCTCCAGCCCCCAGACACCTTCCACCTGGCCACCTTCTGCCTTCCAGGGTGTCTGCGGGTGAAGTCCAAGCTCCACGTGCTGGGCAGAACCCGCGGGGCTGAAGCTTCCTCCCCCCACCCAGAGCAGTGCAGCATGGCTGCCTTCCTACAATAAAGCCCATGTCTTATGGGAGGGAGGGTGGTATACAGGAAAATATGGTGTTTTTACTTTTAAAGGGTCAAGATTGTGGCAGCAGACTGGCATTTGCTTGGAATTTCCTACCAAAGGAGACCTCCAGGAACCTGCCCTTAGGTCGTTGCCCCACGTCAGTTAACTCAGGTGGGACATTTTGCTACCCAGCATGGCCATCAGGAGCAAAATGTAAGCACTGCAGCAGGGGACATCCAGTAGAGATTTGCATTTTCCAAGGAGCTCTCTCCTCCTTTCTCTGCCTGTCAGAAGCACTGTAGTTCCAAAGGGAATTCAATCCCCAGCCCCACGGCTTTCTCTGCAGCTCGTGCATCCTGAGGGGCAGTGGATTCCTTTCAGACTTACTACTTATGGAGGGCGCTTATTAAAATTGCATATAACTGGATGGGTTGGTTATTTTTATTCTTCTAAACCCTTTCTTTGCTATCCCATTGCTCCTCACTTGAACACAATCTTGGCTAAGAGTCCCAGAAGGTACCAAGAACCTGGCATGATGTAATGGCAGGTCACACTTCTCACATGCACAAGCACTTGTCCTGGGGGTGCTTGTGGAAAAAAGTGCCTGTCAATGCAAATGGGGATTGCATGGAGCATTGTTTTAGCTCATTATCATTCTGCTTTGTTTCTCTGAGCTCCCTCCCTTTACCCAACTTTATTTTCTAGCTATCTGGTAAACACTTAAACCTCTTCCAAACCACAAAGGGTAGTTAAAGGCCCCAGCTGTAGAACGTTTGATCAGTGACTTGTTAGCGAGCCAGTCACCAAGTCAAACCACATCGTGGGTTTGTGACATTTAAAGGTATGTCATTGTCATTGTTTTTTCCAGTCTGCTTTTGCCGAGCTTCCTCAGCTTCTCAGAAAGAGAATCCTCTTTTGGCTCAGCAATCCTCTTTTGTACTATCTCTGGAGAGTTCACCTGCTCTTCTCCTTTCAATAGACTCTCATTAGTAAAAAGCAGTTCCTTACAGAGATTCCCAGTGGGTTCATGGAATGGCTAAATTCGAACACTTCAAGAACTCAGAACTATTGTTCTAAAAATGCTCAGTTAAGAGGAGATCCTGGGTGCAAGCGATGAGGGAAATAAGTCAGTACTTCTTCATTCCTTTCAGGAGTTGAGGAGAAAATAATTTTCAGGCAGCCATATGGCCTGCTGAATCTTCATGTTCCTCTAGTTTCTGGGGGCTTGTTGTCGGGTGGCAAAGCTCCAAGACTGGAAACTGTGGACTCACTCCTCCCATGGATGGAGTGAAGAAGAGGGGAGAGAGAGGGAGAATTATCTTCAGAAAAAGGCTGCTGCTCATAAGAAATGCATCTTGCTGGCCAGGTACCCCTGGAGGAGCTGTCACACTGAAAAAGCAGTGGTCTTTGCGGTGGAGGTACATCTGCTGTAGTACTCGCTTATGCTCTACATCTCTTCAACTGAAACCAAGTTACTGTCAAA